ACCGCTCGAGTTGGAGTCCGAGAGTGAACCTTGACCACATGTGTCAATCTTAGAGTTCGCTTCGGAGGATCCACGCCGCGCAGCGACGCTGTGAGCGCATAGACATCAGTCAACAATCGAAACCAGGTGTTCTGACTGCATATCGGACTGCGCCGGCATGTGTGTGTGGGGAGGGGATAAATGCCCCCTGAACACGGTTAATGGTCAGTGATCGCATATCCTCAGACGTTAATAGCAGCAGGCATGTATTCATGTGGCAAATCAAATCGCCAATCTGGACATTGGGTCTCTACGCAGTCTCCAGAACATATCGGTGCTCGCCGACATATTCCGGCTGGAAGCGAAGACAACGAGAATTCAGAATGAAACTGCGGGCTAGTCTAAAGAGAGACCACGAAGCCTAGTGCTCTCACTATGCGTCGTAAATGAATACCCACTGCTCTCGGTAACCATCGCGTTATTCCGTCTGAAACGTGAAACGAACAATAGGAGACCTGGTTTCTGCGAGATTTTATGCGTCGATAGTGGGCACCTGATTCGCAGTTTGTCAAAAGGTTTGTAACGTTGAACTTCGAAAAGCAGTTTAATCAGCTAGAGTTAACAGCTTCGTTATCGGCCACGGATCGCCCTTCTCCCTGGGCCATCCCGCTGGGTCCACACTCCAGCGCAGAAGTCGAGCGTGAAAACAGACTGTTGAAAGTAAATAAGGCCGCAGGAGCAGATGGACTCCTTCCAGTTCTATTCAAGTAAGGGGACCTACTCGTGTGGATGATTTACACGATCTGCTAGTGAGACTTGCAGCAAGAAAATGTCCCAAAAGTCTGAAACCACTCCGTTATTGTGTCAATTTTCTTGAGAAATTAACGTTCGGAATGTGGATCAGTCTGATCACAATTGCTTTTAAGTTACTTGCCTTTGTCGCCCTCCGAGACTGACAGACACGCGTGAAAGTTAAATTAGTGAGGAGGCCGGGTTTCGTCATAATCGAAGCTGTATTGGCCACATCCTCACATCAAGTCAATTGCTGGAACATCCCCATATTTATTGGCGACCAAACGTATTTGTGTTTCTCGACAACAAAGATGTCTTCGAAGTGGCCTTTGGGACTCTGCGCAGAAAAGGTGCGCCCAATAAATGTAAAAATGTCTTAAGAGCACTGTACGCGCGTAGCTGTGATAGAAGTAGGGTTATGGTAAACTATCGCAACCCTTCAATATATCTAGTGGTGTGAGACAAAGTTGCTCGCTATCACCATTCCTTTTTAACTTCGCCATCGAAGAAACCATGGAAACTGCGTTTACTGAGCATGACCGAAATGGTATGGAGCTAATATTATTATGCTATATTTCAGCAGTCTACGAAGAGATATGGAGCCATCAAAAACAAAGGAAGTCATAGGAAGGTGCAGTTGCTGGAAAGGAAAACGGGACCCAACACAAAGAAACCTGCTTTTTCAGAAGGTACCATTCTCATTCTCAGCAACAGCAGTGCATCACCCATTTGAACTGATGTTTCTCTGCCGTACAGCCACAATGACCTATGGAAGGAGGAATGATAAGTGGGGGAGAAGAAGGGCCTAGCGTAAAACCTTAATGCCCTAAACAAGCACTCAAGGTCAAGGCGCCTACACCTTTGCAACAATATACCGTCACAAACAGCTGACTACCGTGCAAGGATAAAGCGATAGCAGCGAGAAAGCTTACTTGCAGCTTTCACTGCCTCACGTCATAATCGGGCATTACTCGGTAGATAATTCAGCCCCAAACACACATTAAACAGGCAGTCCGACTAGGAGACGGCACCAGACACGCCAATGGTGCCGAATGCGAGCTATGTCTTGTAATGTCTCAAGCCAAGCACAAGGCGAATCACGTGGACTCCAGTCCGGAAGGCTGGCAAACATAACAAGGCCGCCCTCGATAAGCGGTGACCAGGCCTATGTAGTACGTGCCCAATCCAACGCAACTTATTCGGTGCTATCTGTTGTTCCAAGGATCGAGTCTGATTATCACTGCCTAGCACTAGCATACGCGCATCATCGTTACGGACACGCTGGTGCCATTCGACTCCAGTGATGCTTCGCAGACAATGATGATCAAAGACTTGACGGCATTTCAGCTGGAAGGAACCAAGACTCAATCCCAAACGACAGGACGGCCTTCACAGTCAGACCGAAGGAACCCCTTTCGGACACCATAGGTTTCACAAATTCAAGTCAGTTCTAGCTTTGAAATACGTGAACTGACTTCAGTAGTTATGCGCCTATCGTTGCTGATGCAGTTGCCCAAATAAGTGATTTGATCACTACTTCGAGTTTCTCGTTATCAAGAATCAAGGGGCCACCAAGTGGCTGGTAGTCCTACAGCAACACTACACTTGGAAAGCTCAAAGTACATGTCAAATAATGGAACTACTCTATAGGTTATTCAGGGTTGATTGCGCCGGCTTAACATCATTAAAAAGCAGGACAACATCGTCCGCATAGTCAAGATCAAATAGCTCTTGCCATGCAGTACCTCAACGCCCGCATCGTGACACTTTATGATGGAGTCCACGACGAAGTTGAACAAAAATGGGTAAATTAAGCAACTCTGACGAATGTCACTTGTTGTCGGAAAGATATGCGACAGGTCACCGTAGACCCTGATGCGACCTGTGGTGTCTGAGTACAGGGCACGTAAAATGTGCACAAGTAGCTCGAAAAGAATGGATCGATCGGCTGAGTCGGAAGCACTCTTAGAACGGAAAAATACAGGTATTGTCCATATGCGGTATGCGTGGTGTTGATCTTACACTTAACTCAGAGTGAATATGTAATCGATACATATATATATACATATATATATATATATATATATATATATATATATATATATATATTTGCGACAGCCTACGAATAGACATAGAGCCATCATAAACTATGGGACTCAAAAGAAGGTACAGAAACAGTAAAAGAAAACAACATAACACATTAAAGTCCATGGTTTCGTCAGAGAGCGAGATACTACCCGGTTGCCCAAGCCGAAGTAGGGTGTTGACTTAGGGGACACCACCCCGAGCCTTTGGCTGTATAGCCTGCCCGCAAGACAGCGGAGCGAATTCAGGGAATCGCGCCCATTGGGAGCCGGTGACTGATTGCTAAGTTCATACTGTGATCGATATAGCCACATCTTGGACAGAAGCCTGGCTGCTCTTCACTATTCCGGGATTCGCAGTCCGCAGTAAGACGAGGAACAAGAAGTGAGGCCAGTAATTTTGTCACCACCGGCGTTAGGCTAATTCCCCTATGGTTGGTCAGCACAGTCGGTGCAACTGCCACTATAACTGATTCACACCAGTTAGCCGGAATGGTCTCTGGCTACCACACCTCTTCGGACAGGAAGGTTAGTGTTTTGCAGAGGATCTTACCACCATCCTTGTGTATTGCGGGTGTGAGCGAATCCGAGCCAGTAGCAAGAAAACGATTGAAAGCGGCGATCGTGTTTCGGAACTCAGCCTCCGATGGATACTCGAACCTAACCGCCCATGACAGCCTGCATCACCTGAGTAGGAAGGGGTCCAGAAGCACGGGGGAATCGGAATTGATCGCGAAAGTACTCAACCATACGGCGCTCCATATTGCGAATCAGGGCACCCGCACTGATTGTTCCAGTGACGCCTGGTTTACTGGGACCAGTGAAGGAGATCAGTTAGAGGAGGTTACGCGAATTGCTTACTGCTCCTGATTCCTCCATTTCCTGAGCACTAGTAGTGAACCAGGCATCGTTGCCAGCACGCAGGCTCCGCGAAACAATTGTTGATATGAAGTAGAAGTATGGGTCCTGTTGTCACGACATTAGTAGCAAGTTATCGCATAAACTGGATCTACTTGTGACCCCAGTTTGAATTGTGGTTTTCTTAACAACTTTCTTTAGAGAGACAGTTCGACCAAACAGAAATGGCGATTATTTCACAGAGCCCAAAAAGCCCAGCCGTTAATCGTGAACCATAGTTGCCTGCAGAGCCAAAGTACGATTCCACTTTCTGATAAACAATGTGCGCTAGGTCGTAAGGTGGTTGAAATATTCGGATGCCACACAGAATGTTTATCGACTGCACATTTTGATCAAGATCATGAATAATGGGTACATTCAGCAGACTTAAAAGAATATTACGGTATCGGCCACTGGAGATTTGTTGATTAAAAAACGTTAAAAAAGAAAAAAATCATTACATTACCCGCGACAACTAGACAAGTCATTGCAAACAACTGCCAATTAAATAGCAAGCAAGGTTTTGTCTGAGGCTGTGAGTAGGGGGAGAATATGCGGTGGTCAAACATTCATGGGAACAGAAAGCAACAAAACTCTTAAAATAAATGATCTGTATGAACTAGCTAATTGGAAAGCAAAGGGTCCAAGCCGAACTTAGCTGGAAATATTGAAGTACTCAAAACTACAAGTGGTAAAGGAGTTAACTTGATTTAAGTGCTGAAGCAACTACCGCTCGAAAGGTGAGTTAAACAAATAGTATGGACTAGATGTGGGCGGGGTGCTTAAATACAGAAAAAATAGCATCAGCAGTACGTCGATATACAGTACCGACGCTTCGCTGCCGCGCAACCGCCACCGGTCGGAGGTGGGCTAAAGATGCTCCTAAGGTCGCCCTGCCACTACGAAGACTCGAACCCGCGCCACCAGATTACAAGACAAGCTCGTTACTTTTAGGCTAGCGAAAAAGGAAATGATCGCCACATGGCTGCTATCTGGTGCGAACTCAGACTCATACAAAAGTAGCAGCAGCACGCCGGCAAACCGTACTGACGCGTCGTTGCCATGCGAATCACAACAGTCGCGTGTGGGCTTTGTATACCGCGATGGCACCTGCAGCTATGCGGTTTCGAAGCGGTGACCACCGGAGTACAAGGCGTGGGTAATTCTTACGGTCACCGGCTGACTTGACCAAACGAAGATCGAAAACAGAACAAAGTATAGAAACAGGCAATAGGGAAGATACCTTACCTTGGTCCTGGGATCTTATCAAATCAGATAAGCACAAAGCGGCAAAAGCTCGGACTGGTAACTCCTGATCAGTGAATAGTGACTTTCGCACTTCTTCAACAACTTGCATGAACACGTTTTGGTCACTGAAATTAGCATCCGACAACTTGCCAATCAGCCAACAAGCTCGTGCTCTTCTGTATCCCTCAGCGGCATGGAGGGTTGGTAAGACGTGGGCAAGAAGAAAGGGTTCAAGATGGGACTAAAACTGGTTTACGGTGACATCAATTGCCATACTTTATAAGCTTCTTTTTTTAGCAACAAATCAGCCACGGCTCCATACATATGTAAAACTGCATCCTTCTCCTCAGGTAAACTTTCGGATGTCAGAATATGCATACAGAATGGCATAACGTTGTTTAGCACTCCGCGACGTTTAATGCATGCCTCACTCAGAAGCGCAAAAGCGGCCGCCGATGGATCAGAGTCCCTACCCCACTCAGCTAAAAATAGAGAGAACTAACAACAAAACTACCAGCTTCATAACGTATATATTCAACAGGATCATCCCGCCAAAGTTCCGCATCTTCCTCAGAATGTGAGAGAAGGGGGAAAATAACTTCCCGCACAAGCAGCAAGAAGTGACCACGCAATGTCTTCCACGCAAAAGAATGACTCAGTCTGAAAGGCTCAAGTGATGTCGAAGAAAACCTACGCCGCGGTGAAGTATTCCAAGGTTTGGGAAAGGACGACTTTGGATACAAAGGACTTTCTTCTATAGAGTTCACAGATGCCCAGGAGGACGTTCAAGACAGTGTTCGAAAAAGACTTGAGGTACCACTCAGCAAAAGGCCTATGTTTTTTGCTTACAACACCAGGATTACCATAACTAAACAATAATCACGTAGGTGAACGTACCGAGTGAGTAGCCGAAGCAAGATTTTCAGTGCCCATTTTTTCGTCTTCCACGCCGGATGAGATGGTTCCGTCGTGCTAAGTGAGTATTCTGAGAGAATCGCACAAAACAAATCATTCCAGCCACCCACCATCTATCAAGATACATTACAAAAGGTCAGACTACCTCCTTCTCCATGGCATCCAAAGGGAAGTGGAAATTGATGAACGCAAAGAATATCTTTAAGATTATGAGTTGCAGAGCCAAAGAATCTTCTGCTTTATTAGAAATCAAGTTGACCATGGCATTCTGTAGAATGGGCAAGAATTCACGCATGATTGCAATGATGTTGTTGCGATCATCGTTCCTTCTGTATTCATATACCTTCACGAAGGTGTGAAGGCAGACAAGGGCTCCTCGCCAATGCTCCTGATCAGTTGAAGAAAGCAAATGTCTAAGCTGTGCAGGAAGCTCGGGGAACCGAGAGGGGTAGTCCGCCTTTATGATCTTTGAAAGCGCAGTTTTCAGTTGGGTTCTAAGAAGTATTAAGCTGGAGCGCATGTCTCACTGTAAAGGAAGAGGAGATGAGACGACAGCGCCGATGATAGCGTTTCGAATCGTGTGGCGGTCTTGTTCGTGTATACTGAAAGTAAGGGCTTCACCCGGTTTCTCAGGATCAGGATCTCTCCACCACTCCGAAATGTTGTTTTTGAAATAAAGGGCCGCAGCTTGACGGACGCTGACATCCAGAGAACATTCCAAAGCCACTTTGAGTAACGCAGGAGCAAAGCCAATTATTTTATACATCTAAACTAATGAACGAAAAAAGCAAACAACCTCGTTTAACATTTTTGTAGCCTCAGCTTGTTTCTCTGGCAACAAAGTGTCGTGCAAAACCGTGGCAATGCGCGCTGGATCCATGGGGAAGTTGTAATACGTGTCAGGTTGAGGACTCCGATGGTTTCCGTGCCAAATGCGTACGTATGTCGTAATAGATTTGGGGGCTGTAACGGAAAAAACACCATGTAGGCATTTGGAAGAAGTTAACACAAGCACCCAGTAAGAGAGCACACTGGATGGTAGTGTGCATATAACACCCCGTGGCCAGCTAGATGCTGCTGTCCCAGCTGCCGAGGGGATGGAACCTGATCTGAATGGATGGATGGCGAGAACACGCCATCGAAGGCTAGGAACAAAACAGGAGGGTAAAGAGAAGAGAAAACAACAGTGCTCGTCTAACCGATGTTCGCCAAAGGGTTATGCTCGGACCTGCTGCATTATCACTTTTTGACATTGAGCTGTCCTCAGCGTCTACGGAAAGCCTAATCGGTTCCGACTTGCTGAGGTGCAAGACGATTGATAAGTGGAGGCCAAGCTCGGTAAATTCCGCGACAAACAGTACGGTCGCAGAAAAGTTTAGGATCGCCTCAAGGGCTATGATGCAGCTTAGCGAACTGCTGTCGGGAACCGACAGGGTAACCAAATATGTAATATGCATCCGGCCGAGGACTTCCGTCTAATATGAGTAAAAGGGTCGTGATATACCTGGGGACTGCAACGAAAACAAATAACTCGTAGGCGGTTGGATAGCTACATAACAATCACTTGATAAGACGGAGCTGGATCAAGAGTGCACCTGATTTACAACTTGTCACGATCGTGACGAAAGAAGATTAAACCCGGTGTAAGGAAAAGGTGGAGTGAAAATAAGCATGAAACGAGAAGCAAAAGAGAAAAGGAAACAACAATGACCACCTAATCAAGATCCAACGATCTTCTTACTTTATGGGTCGCTACTAAGTCAAGCTCGCATCTGTTGTAGTATGCGTGCGGTCGAGGATTCCGAGGGTTTCTGTGTCTGATATGTACGTAAGTCGTAATAGTCCTGGGAGCTGCAATGCAAAATAAATACGTCGTAGGTGGCTGGATGCTCATATCACAACCACTTAGGAGACCACACTAGATGTAAGGGGCAACTGGCTAACGCCTTATGACGAACTGGAGGCTGTTAGCACATCTGCTTGCCGGCCCGTAGCCTCAATGATCACAAGGCTGCGTTGTAATCCGAGGGCGCGGGTTCGAGAATGCGTAGGGACCGGGTGACCGCCGTATCCTAAGCGCACCTATGACTGGTAGTGATTGCGCGGTAGCGAAGCGTCAGTGCTGCGTACAGGCGCACTGCCGATGCCATATTTGACCACAGCTACTGTGGGGATCAACGGATCATTGCATAACAGAGAGCAGAAGGAAGATCCTTTGCCAGCTCCGTCACTTCGCGGTCATTGCAGGGATGAGTCGACCAATGCGAGACTGAGCTCCGCAGAAGGCAATCACAGCCGCAGTCATCATCATCATTATACATGTCAGCTAGAGGTGGTAAAACACCTCCGCTATTGTACCGCAATACATAAAGGAAACATACATACATACCAGACATAAAGGAAAAATAAATACGACAGTCGCATGCCAGCTAAGCTACCAGCAACGGATAGGCATCGTTCCGGTAAGCTACCAGCCGGCTACTAGGTAAAAACAAAAAATTTAATTATGTTTTACCCTACGAAATAAGATCGTAGATGGAGGGGGAGGCTAAAGGGATGGGGAGGGACAAAGAAACTCAGCACGAAGGATACTGAGGTCGGCTCCTTGCCATGTCAGCAAGTGTATCCAGCCAAACGTGTTCATCGTCTTTTGGACCCCAACCAGGGAGCCGTGAATCTCCAACCGAGGCTAGCTCCGAAGTGAGGGATTTCATTCCTCTGGACCAAGTCATCGCTTGGCCACCTCTCCTCTTCTTCCACCCACATCCCCGGTGAGCAAACAACGTACGTCGAGGGAGCCGGTGGGCTGGCATGCGCAACACGTGGCCCAGGCATCGGAGCCTGGTGCATGAAATAACGGTGCTGAGCGGTTCATTCCCTTTTCCTGGGCCGTAAACAAGGCATCGAACACGCTCGTTACTCAGGCGGTGTTCCCACCAGATGTGAGCCAAACTGCGAAGGCACCGATGGTCGAACGTAATTAGCCTCTTCATGTCCGCCGATCTTAGGGGCCAGGTTTCGCAGCAGCACAGTAAGGTCGAACGTACCGCTGCATTGGACACTCTACCCTTCAGGGCGAGAGTAATGTCGCGCCGTCGCCATAGGTGGCGAAGGTTAGCAAAAGCACTCCGAGCTTTCGCTATACGGTTCGTGATCTCGTCTTCGATCCCAAGGGCGCTGATACAACTTCCCAGGTAATTGAATTTCTGAACGACTTCTAGCTGATCCCCACCAAGGGTCAGCACAGGGGGCGATGCCTGCCAATCCTGGTGGAACGCTTTGCACTTCGGTGGTGCAAAGCAAAGCCCGAAGCGACTGACAGACAGTGCTAATCTGTCCAGCGCGGCTTGGCACGTCTGGGAGCTGTTACAGATGAGGGCAATGTCGTCTGCATACTCCAAGTCAAGAAGTCGTTTTCCTGGGAGTAGCTCCACACGTTCCAAGTCATGTCCTGTATATGCAATCTCCGTGACTTCGTCAATAGCGAAGTTGAATAGGAAAGGCGACAGCGGGCATCCTTGTCTCACATCGCTGGAGATATTTAAGGGCGGCGACAGCTTGCCGTAAGCCCTCACTCTGCCCGTGCTACGCGCATATAATGCTTGGATAATATTTACATATTTCTCGGGTACACCTTTCCTGAGTAGACAATTCCAAAGGGCACATCGATCAACCGAATCGAAGGCACTTTTGATGTCGAGGAACACGACTACGGTGGGCCGCCAATATGTGTGACAGTGCTCCAACAACTGACGTAAGGTGAAGATGTGGTCGATGCAGCCACGACCATGACGAAACCCGGCATGCTCCTCACGAATCTGGCTTTCACGAGCGCCAGTCAGTCTGTGAATAATTATGGACGCGAGTAATTTGGAGGTGATGGAGATCAGACTGATTCCTCTATGGTTGCCGCATTCCGAGCGCGAGCCGCCTTTGAAGATGGGAACAATAACGGAGCGGCTCCAGTCGGTTGGGACAATCTCCTGCTCCCACAGTTTCACTAGTAATTGATGCAAAGCATCAACAAGAGCAGAGCCCCCGAATTTGAAGTGAGCTGGAGGAACATTATCTGGTCCCGCGGCTTTGTTCAACTTCAGCAGTCCGATCTCACGTTCGACTTCTGAGCGAGAGGGTGGATCCAAACGGACAGCCCACGGAGCGGGGCGATCAGTGACCGGCGAATCGAACAATTCTTGCCGATTAAATTGCTTTTCAAAATGCTCAGCTCAACGCTCCAAGCGTTTTGACAAATTGTGGATAGGCTGTCCACTCTCGTCACGTATAGTTTCACTAACACCAGGTCTCCTGCTGCCCGTTTCCCGTATCAGACGGAATAACTTACGATGGTTGCCAAGGGCAGCGGCCACTTCCATCTCCGACGCATGATGAGACCACCAAGATTCGCGGTCTCTCTTCAGGCTAGCACGGAGTTTTGCCCGGAGCTCTTTGCGAGTTTCATTGTGATCGCTTCCAGCCGGGATATGCCGGCGAGCGTCGATAAGTTCCAGAGACTGCGAAGAGACCCAATGTCCATGTTGTCTATTAGACATACCACAGCCGCAATAGGAACAACAAGATACCAGCATATTCAGTAACTGAGAATCTAACAGTGTATTAAAACATTTCTCCTCTGTGCATCAACAATCAGCTACAACAAGCGGTTTCAGTCAGTCATTACACTGGTGGATATGGCAAGATTGGTCTGCACTCTGAGCCTTATCGCTTTGAATAAGTTCCATTTGTGATTTCTAGTAAAGGTTCTAGCGATGAGATGATAGAACTGTAGCCCTCTCACGAGCTTCCATAGAAGAATAAGTAGAGTGAGAATCAAATCACAATGGCGGCGACAGTAATCCATAAATAGGTTCAGGTGTTGGAGGGGGAGAGGATAGAGCAGTCAACGCAACTCAGAATTGGAACCACGATATTGGATCGTCCCAATGACGTCACATCCGAACTTGGCGAGAGGACAGGAGGCAACAAAATCGTAATCAGACAAGGCCAGGACAGGACAGAAAATCAGGGACGAAACAGGTATTCGGATAACGAGCGTTCCGTTCCGTGTGACGGCGAGAAAGTCAAGACCTCCAGCACGACAACGTTTAATACTAACTGAAGCTTCAACTGTGTGCGGAGCAGCAGTTATTTTTTAGTTGCACTGCTTCTAGACACAGTGGGCGCCGAAGTGTCACTTGGCGTCCACCTGCAGCTGGCCTGCGATGGACCCAAACTAACCACATAGCCATAGGTTACAGTGGCGTGGTTCCATCCTGGATTGCCGCTCGTACTGGAATACATGCTTCGACTCTGATCATGCCTTGGTAAGTTGTCGTTTCTCCATGAACATGCTCGGGAAGCGCACCAAGCGTCCCCTACGATTGGAAACTGCGAAATTGTCTCAGTGCTCAGTCAGGCAAGTCTATCAAAACGCACTGCGTACCGAACTTTCGCTGTCTTGTTCTAATGACGCTGAGCTTCAGTGGAATAGGATCTCGGCCGCCATGCACGACGCAGGAGCATCTGCTTGTAGCACTATCATTGGTCACCGCACCAGTAACTGGATATCCGAAAGAGGTCGGTGAACCTGTTGGAATCCAGAAGAAACGTCCCGACGTTTCTTCGCACAGTGTGACCAGACGGACGATTAGGCGCGAACTAAGGCGGAGCCTACGTGCTGACAAGGAAGCGTGGTGGACCACTCGAGCTCAAGAAATGGAGGAGGCAGGAGCAGTAGGCAAGTACCGCAAGCTCTTCCAGCTGATCCGC